TGCCTGCCTGGTAGGCCCTCATGCAGTGATGGCAGCTGCACAAAGACGGCTCATCTCTACCACCAGACAGACCACTTTTAAGCTGTTGGTAATCATGCAGGGATGACTAACAGCTTTCTACCTAACCCATTACTTGCAGAATTCATAGCTCTCTGTCTACTTACTCCACAGGAAAGCCAGTCCCATTTTGGTATCTCTGTCATGGACCACAAAAATGAGTTTCACACAAACAGATCAGGTGACAGGCGCACTCTCCAGGGGTTCTGAATACCAGGCAACTACTATCTGGATTGGTTTACTCTCTGATTTCAAGGGCAGGTGCTTTGTGATTGCAGAAGAACCTGAATGTCGGGGTGGAAGAACTCCATCATCTAGGGTGAACCTAAGAGAAGCAAAAAATCTATCTGCATGGCATTACTTATGGTAGGCCTGAGGTAAAGGTTAGGAGCTGTTTGTGGAAGAAGGAGCAAAACAAACAGGACTGCAGAGTCTGCTATAATCATTGGGGACATAAAGCAGAAGCTCCATAGATTCCACTGAACTCAGCTGGAGGGAAAGAGAAATCTGGCAGAGAAAGAGAGGGAGCCCTTCACTCCCCCAGAATAAGAGGGGAGTGGTAGCACAAGCAGCTTGATAATCTCAAAAGCCACTAAATCGCTGGAAAGCAGGGGAGGGGGGGAGTGGTGGTTAAACAGCATCTTGTCATCAGCAGTCCTTGGAAATCCACTGATCGTCACAGCAAAGGATTAAACACATTTAAAAAGTAATAGCAAAATGAACTAAACAAGTGTCAGAGAAAATTTAAACCTCACTCCTGACCCAACATAAGTCACAGACTAACAGCAGGACCTGTGGCCAGCAGCCCTTAAAATTAACAGGAGAGGTGCACGTTACGAAAGTTCCTACATTTCAGATCCTCAGATGGAAGAATCACTGCACAGTGGACTGAAGTCTGCCTTAGTTGCTCAAAGGAAAGTTGCATTTCTAAACAGCGGCAACAGAACTGGCATGTTCCCTCCCTCATGAGTTGTCTTTGTACTGCTACAACATCGCAAAGCACTTTTCAAACTACATCTTGTAAAATCCACAGAATACAATCGTGGGTGGAAGAAGTGCAGAATTAAGAAACTTGTCCAAGATATCAGAACATGCAAGTAATTCAGGATCAGCCCCTTGCAGAAACTGGTATAGAACAATGTCCTTCCATGACGACATATTGAATTATTTTGGGGACTTTAAAATTAAGTAGTGTCAAGGATTACCTTAAAAGAAGGAAATTCAGATGCTTGCTCATCTGGTTGGGCATTTACAGCATACAGAAACTGAAAAATACACAGCTCTAAGTAAGTATGTGCTCTAAAATGGCAATCTGCTCAGCTGAGATAATGGGAATACTGAGTCTTGCAGTTCACATGCATAGATAAATTCCAGCACTCTTTCCTCTGTCTACATCAAACTCACTAAAAATATAGAGAATGCTCCATGCTCTTCAGAAAGGCCCATTCAGCACTCCCACACTTAGCAGAGGCTAAAATAAGTAAAACTTTACTCCCAACGGAATTAAATTTCACATATCCTCAAACTGATCTTATATTGAGTATTATGGCTGTTGGTAGCTTTCTATAGAGAAAGCCTGGCAGAACTCTCTGGAGAGCACTAGCAATTCCTCTCAAGTGAGCAGAAATCACTACTGGGGAACCTTTAAGGAAGTAGCTTTACAGGTAAATATTATCTATATGGACTGCAGATAGAGTGCCCATGTTGTTATGCAAATAGATAAAGTGATTTCACACACAGAGCTATGAAAGAGCATGCACTGATTTTATGAAGGAAGCTATAAAGCCAAGCAACAATTCCAGTGTGCTCCTCAATTAACAAACTGTTACTAGTCAAAAAACTGACCCAACTGAGGCCATTGCAAGGCCTCGTCACTGCGTAACGGGACTATGCAACTGTCCCCTTGATCATAAGCAGAAATGCACAATGGGTGGCTTCTCTTGTGTCTGTCTGCAAGTAATGTTGAACAGTAGACAGAATTAAAAAAAAAAAAAAAAAATAGAAACCTTGTTCTTCCTCTGCAATCACAGTAAAAATACTCAAGCTTAATGCAAAGTTAAAACATGATTTTTTTTTTCCTATTCCCACTACAGGAAATTAGTGATACATAATTCATCCTAACATAAATATCTTTGCTCAGGCTCCATTAAGTACGTTTAATAGAAAGTACACTTCTTATCAAATCTCAACCCTGAAGCTCTCATTTTGCTCCTTGGGAAAAACTGGAAGCCTATTACCTTGGTCTGATTTAGGGTTTTTGATAACCCCAGAACCCAGATTCAAATTTTGGCTTGGATTCCATTCACTTAGGTGACCTCCTTCTAGTCCTTATTTTTTTTTTTTTTTTGTAATATAAAAGTAGGAAATTATCACTTCACTGTGAATTTAAGAAAGAATTTGGACAAAACAGCACATGTCTGCTGGTCAAGCTCAAGATGCACTGGGACAGCAGATCCAAACAGAAAGTTCACATTGCACCTGTCTACCCCACAGTCAGCATTATATTATTGCCAGAGTCATGCAAAAAGCAAAGCCAGCAAGCATACAAAAATCTGAATGCACAAAGAAGCCAAATACTATTGAACAAATCCCACTCGATGCTAATTAACATTAAGGCTGGCCAGAACCCGCTGTGATTCCAACTTGCACTCCCTGTTCAAGCAAAACTTCAGGGAAGCCTGGCAGAACCAGTGACTGAACCACAGGTGCAGGAAAAGCTGGCTGGATCAGTGAACTGCTTTCATACCACGTGGTGATGGAGAACAGTCCGCATCAGAGCATGAGAGTTGGGAATGGTAGCCAGCCAGCTAATCGCACCGTGATCTCTCGTGCCTTTTGTTTGTTTTATGAAAAAGAGGTTCTGCCAATTGGTTTCAAATCAAAATTCTTCCTAATCAGGAAAGAAAGAGATTTTATATAAAATGATGCTCAGTAGGAATTAATCAGAAACACAGTCCTCCTGAAAGCATAAGCCTTTTTGGTTAAGTAAAAAGTTGCCACCGATTAATGTGCAAGACAGTAATGATTAGCCATCTGGTGAAGGTTCCTGCTAAGCTTGCCATGTTACCCCCTATGCTGAGGAAAGCAGAAGGTGGATCAGTTACATTCTGTCTTGTCCTTGCCTGCAATTGTGTGGTCATCCTTAGGAACAAGACACAAAGCTTTCCAGCTCAACCAGTAATTGTAACTGTTCCGATTTTCGACAGACCTTTTTCTCTTTATTTTTTCTTTTTTAATCAATGCATCCCAGCTAAATTATTTAAAATAAAAATTATCTATTGCCTTTCTGAAAGCTGAATGTATCCTCAAGCTTTATCAACCTTTGTTACTTTTGCCCCTTTGTTTCCTTCTGCAAAAAATGCAACTGCCAGGAGGCTTCCCAGTCATCTAAAGAGCATCAGTAAACAAGAGCAGAGACAGATGGCTGCAGCTCAGTTTAAACCAGCACAAGATCCAGCCTCTCCCCTGCACTGCAAGTACTACCCATAAGATACAAACATATGCATAAATCCAAACAAGAATGCAGTAGTCCTAGATAGAAAACAAGCATGTATATACAATCTGATAAGGAAGAAGTCACTGTGAGGACAGGGTGCTGAGGTTTCATGTACAGTGAGCATCCATTACAGCCATACAGCCTTCCAGTAATACAATAATTGGATATAAGGATGCAGGGAAAAGGGGGTGGGAGGGGAGCAGGGGAGAGTTCCCCCTCCATTGTTGCTACCAAAAGTATTGCTGGCAAAAAACAATCAGCAAGGAAAGTAAAACCAGGCACCTCCTTCCAGCAAAGTTACTCTTCTGAGTGCTAATAAATCAAACTCACACAAGCTTAGAAAGTGACAACCTCTGTGACAGGCCTCCCAATTCACCTACTACTTCGGGAATTCACATTGACAAATAATATGTTAACCCCTTATTAAAATGGCAGTTTCAAAGAGAAAAACTCCTAAGATAAGTCATAGCTTTAGAATTATAGAAGTCTATCCAAACAATCATACTGAGGTTTTTTTTTCATTCCTGGATTTGATTGTTTTTCAATTACTGCCTAGAAGACTACTGGTGTTAGCACAAGATACTGTTTATATTATGTGCCTTGCCTTGCTAAAGAGATTCAGATGTTCACGTACAATCAATAAATCTATCTGAATCAACATAGTTCACTGCCTGTTCCACCAACTATAAATCCACTGCGATTCCACAGCCACACCTGCATGCCTGAACAGCTTACAGAAGAACGGGTTCAAACATTGCCCATTCTTCCCCAAACAAAAATTTTGACTGCTGAAATTAAACTAACAGCTCTCCCTCGGGGCTTCCTGATATTCCAAGTTCTTCCTTCACGTAGTGATAGCAGAAAGCTTCAAGAACAGGGTTGCACAATCATCACCTCCAATCAGCTCTAACTGAAGGATGACACGAGACAGAACGAGAAACTAGCACTCCAATTAATACAGACAGGAAAAAACAAGATTGTGGGAGCAGCATCATTATTGGTAAAACTCCAGCAAAAGCCTCAGGTTGTAGCATGTTGGCACTCTATCACCTCTGAGGTAGAGTTTAACTACTCCTCGGTGCAAGAATACAAAGGAGGGAATGATTTGGTGGTGAATACTGAACAGTATTCACCCTTTTTACCTCAGTGTTCACTCTGAAACTTTAAGAGCTGATTAACACAGCACTCTGTTGATCCTCTCAAGAGAAGCCTGAATCAACCCTTCTGGGAATCAAATCTGTATTCCTAAAGTGCAATCTGACGTATATTTCTGCAGGACCTTCCTAAAACAGGACAATTACAAAATAACCACGGACTTCTCACAATAAACAGTTGCCTGCTTAGAGCAATTCACCCAGGGTCACCTAGAAAACCTCTCCCATTCATTTCCATGATGCCATTTCCTGCTCCATACATTTAAAAGACTAAACAAAAAGCTGGTACACACCTGTATCCCCATGGAAGCAGCTGTCCTGGTGACATCTCCCAGAAGGCAAGTCTCCATCACTTGGCCAGATCTGTCCTGTTTTTCGTACCCCCACAATAGTAGCCTCAGACACGATGACCTGCTGCTGCCTGTGCCGTTTTTGAGACTGGGGGGTGGGTGGACTGCTACTGTCAAAGGACTGCTGAGAGTTCTGGGAGGGAGAACGGCTTTTATCCCGATACATGCGGTAAGTGGTGGGGCTAGGGGAGACATGGCTGGACTGCCCTGAAGAGAAGTCTTCCTCACTGGAGGTAAGGTTCTCATTAGAGCTACAATCAGGAGTATATCCTCCTCCAATATCTTCAAAACTCCTGGGAGAATAAGATCTCCTGGGCCACGTTAGATGTTTTTCCTGGTCAGTTGTGCCCTGATTTCGCAGAATAGGTCCTTTCCCTTCTCCTTCCCCCATCATTCCACCAACATAGATACTTTGATATGGCTGAAAGTCCATGGGCTGCCAAGGTGAGCGGTTGCTGCCATTGGCATTAATCAGGTTATCTTTGAGAAACCTGGGGTTCAGTTCAGCATCCTCATATTCTCCATCATAGCCAAAGCTGCTCTCCGAGGACCTTCCCCTGTAAGCAGGCCTCTGGAACTCGCTGAAGCTGGGTACCATGTTAGAAGGCAAGGAGTGCAAAGACTTTTTGCGTTCCATTTGCATGGCTTGGCTACCGAGGGAGCTTATTTTATCAGAAACATCTTTATCGTTGACCTTTACTAGACCCTTCTCATGATGATACTCCATGTTCACATAAAAGGGCTTTTCAACAACATCCTTGTTATCTCCTGAAGAATGTGAATTAACCTTTTTAATCCTCTCAAAATTTGACCTTAGGGCTGCCACGCTGGTGCTATTCCCTCTCTCCTTGGAAATAGGTTCAAATGATCCCTCCTTCTCAGCAGATCCTACCAGCCTGCGAGTGGAAGCCGATCTGTGTTTTGAAGGAGAGCCATCTGTATCACAGCGATTCTCCATATCTTCTACAACTCTCTTCAGTTTCTCTTCACCGTAGTACTTACACCTGTCCTGCTCTCCCTCTCCATGGTGGGGGCTGTCCAAAGGCGACAGGTCTGACCCATCACTCTGGGTAGACAGCTTCCGCAGGGAGGGTATCCTGGGTTTGAACTTTTCCTCCCCGTGGTGTGACTTGCTTTTTTCATATTCGTCTTGGTCAGCAGACTGGTGATGCAGGTCTTGGATCTGCTGCTCTGCACCCCCTTCAGGCAACTGAGAAGCACGTTTAAAACCCCATCTCTGTCTATCATAGCTTTTTTTCTCCTTTGCCAGAAGAGTCTGCAGGTAAATCATGCGGAACCTTTCCTTATTGACCTCCATCTCCAGTCTCCGAATAGATGCTTTGCACATCTCCAGCTCCTGTTCAATGTCTCCCACAGATTTCAGCTCCATTTTAGGAGGCTCAGAGTCTGCAAATTGTGCTTTCCAAGCCTCCACAAACCCCACAGGGTCCACCATTTTGCATACAGGAGTAAGTGGAGAATAGGGAAAGGAGGCTGGAGAGAGATAGGTGGAGAGAATAAACCAACCGGATCTCACATGTAGAAGCAGAAACAGCTCCGGCAGGGTCAACTCAATGCGTCTCTTTCACGGTCCATGCAGGGAAACCGGGAGGCAAACAGCAATCCTCGGAGCAGTCTCTCCTCCCCGTCGCCTTCAGCTTTTGCCGGCCCCAGCCCCCGTACCCTCGCTACTCTCTCCCCGGCATGACTGATCTTTTGCTAGCGAACAACAATGCTCCCACCCTGGCGATCCCACAGCACTTCAAAGTGGGTGGACAAAGGAGCAGGCTCGGGGCGGGGGAAGGAAGGTAAATATCGCCCCCCACCCACCCACCCACCTCCTGCCGCTGCCCTCCGCTGCGGAAGGGGAGGAGAGGGAAGGAGCCAGGCGCAGCGATTGACACGGCGCTGGGGCCTCTTAAAGGGGCAGCCCGGGCCGGCGGAGGGAGGCCTGTGCCCGAGGGACCCCGCCGGGCCTGGGGGGGCCTGGGCCCGGCACCCCCTTCCCCGCGGGGCCCTCGGGGGCGGCTGCCGGCCGGACAAAGGCGAGGTGTGCAGGCTCTCGGACCTTCACGGCCGCTCACACCTACAGCCACAGGCCTCGGACATCACCACAGAGAGACACGAAGAGCAAGAACGTATCCTACACATGTGCTCTGGGAGGTATCCATTCTTGTCCACACATCCACGCCCTCATATATTATGTATAAACACCATCTCTTGTGTTCACAGCAACGCTCTCCCCCCCGGGCACCGATGCAGCTCCCCTTCAAAGGTCACGTTTTCCCCCGCTAATGGGTAGGAGCAGGCTTGTCATTCACCCAGTCCTGCCTCCCTTGCCAATAAATGACAAGCTGGATTCTGAGATGGGCAACCAGTGCTCCAAAATCACTACCTTATTGACAATAAAAGTTGCTTTGTTCAGGCATTAGCCTCACTTTTGTCCTGTATATTATCCCAGCCCAAATAACTCCAGAGTTCCACTCTTCAGCTCTGGGTGAAGGGTGGCAAATGATTTAAACAGAAGCCTGGCTGCTGAGTATTACTCCCCAAATCAATCACAGTACATGATCTTGCTTAAGCCCTGCACCTTTCTAAGCCCTGCATCCTCTCCGTGTACTAATTCAACCTCTGAAAACGTGGTAACAAATACACCTCAAGTTCCGTCCTGCCTGTTTGGATGATAGGAAAAGGTGACATATATACACCTCATATCCCCCACAAACCTGCTGCTTTCATGTCTGCAGTGAGGTATATCTTTTCTGGCACATGTTACTAGAAAAGAGGGTGGGTTATAGCCCCAACAAAAGTCTAATAAAATCTTTTAAGAATGAAAAGCCCAATTCCACAGGAGCTCTCTTACCTTTGAAATATGTAACGTTTCATAATCCATTAAGGTTTTCTCTTCATGCTGTTTTATATGCCAAATGAAATATTTTTTGATACTTTCAGACGTATCATACAAGTCCACAGGAGTAGCTCTCTTACCTTTGAAATATGTAATGTTTCATAATCCGTTAAGAAGGTTTTCTCTTCATGCTTTTTTATATGCCAAACAAAATATTTTTTGATACTTTCAGACGTATCATAAATGGCTAATCAGGTACTCAGACTTTCATAGTTCATCCCTCTTGGTTTTTGTTTCCTGGCTTTAACATCTTTTACTGCACTTGTTTCCTCAGCTTTATAAATGGCTAATCAAGTATTCAGATTTTCATAGTTCATCCCTCTTGGTTTTTGTTTCTTGGCTTTAACATCTTTTCCTGCACTTTCCTCAGCTTTTAACACATAATGGGCATTGGCTGACCTATATGGAAAACAGATTATAATCTAAATCATAATAAAATCTATATGTTTAGTAAATACCTTTATAAATCCTTTAAGGAATCTCAATCTTTGACAGAAATAAAATTAATTGGCTCTTCACCATTCATAGTTTGCTATTTGCTTTGGTGCCAGTTTGAACACTGAAATTCTGACGTGCAATGTATTTCTAGTAATAAGTTTAAGACTGTACTGGCATGGGTATGACAATGACAGGTGTGTTACATCACAGGGATGTGTTCTGGAACCCTCCATTACTTTTACTGAAGTCCCATAGTCCTGATTTTTTACGTCTAGAGCTTTTTGCATTTGAGTTCAATTTTCTGACATTTGCGCCCTTTCTGGGGAAAGTAAGAATTCTGGTGAGTCAGAAGAGGGATTCCTGTATGGACGCTTAACTTTTAGTGACTAATACTATTAAACAATTGCACCTTCTTCATCTATTGAGGTACTACAACATCAGAAATTCCAGTGGGAATCTCTGAATTTTTGCCGATACTTTTACGCATACAACTGACTATTATTTTAACAGGATACAAAACTTCACTAAGGCTATGGTGGCAGACACATATCTGTGATTCGAGTCTGAGAATCCTGTAACGAGGGGGCTAAACTGCAGGCAGCCTGCCCAGCACATTCCCTCTGCTGGCCTGCGAGAGACGCCGAAGCCCCTCGCTGCCGCCAATCAACCAGTGCTACAGCGACCACAGGGCTCCCTCTGGTGGGGAAGAGCAGCCACAGCCGACTGAATCGGAAAAGCTCTTGAGCTCTCACTTGTGAACTGTTCAGCGTGATCCCACACGAAAGAGTGAGAGGTTTTGTAAGAAGAAAAAAAAAAAAAAACCAACACAAACCACCAAACAAACCGGTAGCACATAAGCAGAGTCTTTTTAAAGAGAAATAAAACATAATTTCTGATTAATCTGCAGCTGAAGCTAAGAAACCCTATTTTTGTAGCACAGAGCAGCACTCATTGGTAGAATCTAACAAGGTCACTAAGTGTCGAGAAGTCCCGTGCAGACTAAACTATTCTGTGAACCCAGAAAAATTGGAACTCCCCGTCTTAGAATTCAGAAAATGGTGATTTCTCGCTGTGAGACCAACCTTACAGAAACTGATCAACCACCTCCACTGCCAAATGCAGATTCTGCTACAACTTCAACTTGCCAAACCCTTCATTGTAACTCACGTGCTCAGAGGATGCGATACAGATTGGAGTTTGTAGCATTCCCTCACCAGTGCATTACATTGTACTCCTTAGAACAACTAACTATTGATGAAAACCTGAAAAGACAGAGGGGGACAGATTTATTCATGAAGAACAGACTCGAGTCGGACTATTGCAAGATGAGCCTGAGCTGAGAACTAACAGGAAAAATCTGAATCATATGACCAATTAGAATATAAATAATAATATCCTGTGTCAAATAGTAACTCAAAAGGCAGAAACACTGGCTTTAACATCTTTTACTGCACTTGTTTCCTCAGCTTTTAACACATAATGGGCATTGGCTGACCTATATGGAAAACAGATTATAATCTAAATCATAATAAAATCTATATGTTTAGTAAATACCTTTATAAATCCTTTAAGGAATCTCAATCTTTGACAGAAATAAAATTAATTGGCTCTTCACCATTCATAGTTTGCTATTTGCTTTGGTGCCAGTTTGAACACTGAAATTCTGACGTGCAATGTATTTCTAGTAATAAGTTTAAGACTGTACTGGCATGGGTATGACAATGACAGGTGTGTTACATCACAGGGATGTGTTCTGGAACCCTCCATTACTTTTACTGAAGTCCCATAGTCCTGATTTTTTACGTCTAGAGCTTTTTGCATTTGAGTTCAATTTTCTGACATTTGCGCCCTTTCTGGGGAAAGTAAGAATTCTGGTGAGTCAGAAGAGGGATTCCTGTATGGACGCTTAACTTTTAGTGACTAATACTATTAAACAATTGCACCTTCTTCATCTATTGAGGTACTACAACATCAGAAATTCCAGTGGGAATCTCTGAATTTTTGCCGATACTTTTACGCATACAACTGACTATTATTTTAACAGGATACAAAACTTCACTAAGGCTATGGTGGCAGACACATATCTGTGATTCGAGTCTGAGAATCCTGTAACGAGGGGGCTAAACTGCAGGCAGCCTGCCCAGCACATTCCCTCTGCTGGCCTGCGAGAGACGCCGAAGCCCCTCGCTGCCGCCAATCAACCAGTGCTACAGCGACCACAGGGCTCCCTCTGGTGGGGAAGAGCAGCCACAGCCGACTGAATCGGAAAAGCTCGAGCTCCCACTTATGAACTGTTTCTTCAGCATGGTCCCACACGAAAGAGTGAGAGGTTTTGTAAGAAGAAAAAAAAAAAAAAAACCAACACAAACCACCAAACAAACCGGTAGCACATAAGCAGAGTCTTTTTAAAGAGAAATAAAACATAATTTCTGATTAATCTGCAGCTGAAGCTAAGAAACCCTATTTTTGTAGCACAGAGCAGCACTCATTGGTAGAATCTAACAAGGTCACTAAGTGTCGAGAAGTCCCGTGCAGACTAAACTATTCTGTGAACCCAGAAAAATTGGAACTCCCCGTCTTAGAATTCAGAAAATGGTGATTTCTCGCTGTGAGACCAACCTTACAGAAACTGATCAACCACCTCCACTGCCAAATGCAGATTCTGCTACAACTTCAACTTGCCAAACCCTTCATTGTAACTCACGTGCTCAGAGGATGCGATACAGATTGGAGTTTGTAGCATTCCCTCACCAGTGCATTACATTGTACTCCTTAGAACAACTAACTATTGATGAAAACCTGAAAAGACAGAGGGGGACAGATTTATTCATGAAGAACAGACTCGAGTCGGACTATTGCAAGATGAGCCTGAGCTGAGAACTAACAGGAAAAATCTGAATCATATGACCAATTAGAATATAAATAATAATATCCTGTGTCAAATAGTAACTCAAAAGGCAGAAACATCATCACTAAAAATTAAAAGGAAAGGCTTTTATAGTAAGAAATTAACTTTGCCAGTCAAGTGAATGTTTCTTAAACAACTGTTGATCCATTACCAGTTGTTTTGCTCAAAGAGATATGCATACTTATTTAAACAGGAGCTCATTAACACATTAGCTTCTACTTATTAAGACGAAAACCAGCATAACAATAGTACTTCCTTTGGGACATTGATTTTAACAACTGCTCTTTAGGTTTGCTTCAGACTCCCTCCGAATTTCATTTCTCTAGTTTCTTAGCTGCAAACTCCACAAGGAAGCTGGCACTGCAGCTGTTACCATGATCACTGTGAGGACTTCAGTCGGTATAGAAACTGTGGTTTAACCTACCTGTGTTTAGTTAATGCAGTTGTTCCAACACTGTTTTCCACAATATTAAGGCTTCTTCAAAGCTGACAGAATAGATTAACATGCATAGGTAAAACATAGACCAGATAGAAATGTTTAAGAACTTCCAAGTTTACGTTTATTTTTCCACTAAAGTTAGTTTCCTTTGTGCTTTCCTAAACAATTCATCATTTGCAACATGATCCAAGATTCACCTTAGACAATCCATTATTAATACTGAGTTCTTTGCAGATGAAGTCTCAGTGGGGCTAAAAAACACCCTCCAAAACAAAACAACCAAAAAAAACCCCTAAACCCTGCCACTAACCAAAAAACAGTCTCAAAGCACTCATAACAAAATAGAGGGAGTCAGACCATTGTCAAATGATAGTTAATAACTGACAGAGTATTGCATTTGTACATAAGGTTTGGAGCTCCAGAAGATACAAACCAGTAATGACACCAAGCAATGTACTGAATCACTAGAAAAAAACACCTGTCCCAGTTGATGTTCCAAGCAACGCAATTGCACCGCTGAAGAGACTGCAGCTCTGATTTTGTACCATAATTGAGCTCAGCAACAAAAGAAACAGGAGATATATGTCAGGACAGGGACTGGAAAGCTGATCTTTTCTTCGGTTTGTTACTGAGTCATTTCACAGCTGTAAACACGAGCATCTCTGCACTGAAACCTAGCACCTGAGCCACTCTCATTCAAACCCAGTAAACATGAAGACCACGGCTACACCGCCCGCTCAGGGCAGCACGTGGTGTAAGCGGAGTATATATTCGTCATCGTCATGAAACAGACTCAGGAGATGAACAAATACATAGAACACCATAAGGTCAAAATATTACACATTCGGATAAATAACTCCTGCCATCCCCACACATACTCATTTTCTCCACCAAATGCTACATTTGCATCTTTGCCAAGAGAATTTGCACAATTGCCAAAGCGAAGATTGTATGATAAAAAAAGAAACCGAGTTCCTAGATCTCCATTTATCATATTCTCTGAAGCTATAACTTATGCCATAAGAAAATAAAAGTAATAAAAAGGATGGTTAAGTCATCTTTTCTCCACTTCTTCCTATTTCTTATCAAACAATTTGGGGAGAAAATGGCAGAGAATCTAGACTATTTTCAGTTTGATGCATAGATTATTAACCAACATCTGCATTTTCTCAGCAGCTCAAATCTGAAAGGTCCTGTTATAATCAGTTTTTCAGACACTGTTGTTTCTGTAATGATTGAATGAGTATCTTAAGAAACTGTAACTTGTCACTGTCTATAAGTTTTCTTCTTTCTCTCCACTTAAAATAGCTGCATTATGAAATTTTGAGCATTATAGATTTTTTTTTTGATTTTTTTTTTACGCCACCATAGCATGTAATGCTGGATTTGAATCTCAGAAGTATGGAGTTACAAGCTGCTGATAGATTCCTAGAGAAGCAGTCTTTCTGTTGTCCCACTTCCATTCCTTCATGAATTCTTTCATTTGAGTGTTTATAGTAACTTTGAAGGACCTTACATTTGTATGGTTTAGTGGAAGCAAAAGATTTACAGCATCTCTAACTAGATACTCAGAACTGAATATTAAAATTCAGTGCGACACTGGAAAAATTAGAAGGAAATGAGTGTATTTCCCTTTTACTTCTTTTGTACTTTTGCAGACTTTAATTATCATAGTCAATCATTCTAATACAATTTCACAAATACTGATTAAATATTTGTTATAGTAATTTCTGGCAACATTACTTGTCATTCAAATATCTGGCAATGTCATTTGTCAGCAGAAATTACTTCACAAACAAATTTTACAAAGGAATATCTTTTGGCCTCAGTCATTGCTGCCGAAAAAGCAGAAGAGCATTGTAAAGCTGCTTCACTTCGATGAAATTCAGTGGTATCCAGAGACAGTCTCTCCCCGTTAAGCAATGATTGCCATTTCTAAAGAACTAATTTCACAAGGTTATGTCAAAGGGTATTTGAAAAGACAAAACTGGGGCAACTGTTTTTTGATCCAGCAAGCACACTCAATCACAACAACATGTCCAGAGAACAGAGAACATCTTCACATGGCAAGTACCTTTGGGCTTAACAGGCACGTGCCTCCTTTGGAGAACTCCAGCTTTTCCCATCCCTCTAAACCCATGTACACTTGCAAGTCTTTTCACAAAATGGCAAAACTATTTCTCTATGATTACTCCTTCTATTGAGCAGTGGAGCAAATTGCTCCCAGCACCTAGTGATCAAATTATCTTGTCCAGTAAAAGCAGACAAAGTGATTAAGAGTTCACAGCAGTATCAAATCTAACTTAACCAGCTCAGAGGCCCTACCACAGAGAAGGATGAACATGTTCATGACTGAGACCGTGTACGGTGCCAGAGTCATGTTACATTACTATAAACAAAAAAACCCAGCAGAATAAAATAAAAATTTGATTACTCTTAGCAACAAAGCAGAACTGCAGTGTAGGCAATATTCAGGGAGATCAATCCAGAGAAGAAATCTGCATCCTCTTTGGAAGATGGAATTAATGAAATCTAATTTTTCTATGAAATACATCTATTTTTTCAAAGTATCAGACAGCTGGGATAAAACAATGAAGTTCCTACCTGGACTTCTCCTAGGCTTGGAAATATTTAAACACCAGGCTCCGATTCTGAAGTGGAAAATCAAAGATAATAACAGATTTTTCCTGGATGGAGAAACCAGTGAATACTATGCAGTCTGCATTTGTGTATTTCCACACCTGTTATTTAAAAAGATTTCTTTTGAACAGCTCTAAAATATTTGGAATGCATAAGAGCAATTCAGAGTTATTTTATACTATGATCTTAGAAGGCAAAAACATATAGACAGCACCCTTTATTCTGAACTGTCATTTGTTTTCTGCTCCCATGAGAATGCAATTTCACTAAGACTTCTAGAGAATTATCAAACACCAACGTAACTTGGTTTTTTACGTAACTTTTGACTACAAGTGTTTCTGGCAGACAGGTGAGCACGTGGCACTGGCAATGTCTTCCTGCATTAAGACAAAGATGTCATGTTTCCACTACACAGAGAAAGGTTTATGTAACAATTGTACCATCCTGCACAAGCGAGCCTGTAGCAGCAAGGGAACTCCCAGAAAGAAAGTTTGGATAAGTTTTTCCTCCCTCATTTCCAAAAATACAACTTTGTATTTCTGGTTTGAGAGCTTTCATTGTTGCAGGTGCTCTATGCTGCACTAGAGAAACATGGTGCTTGCAGAAACAGTTGACAGTTAGCAGCAACTCGGGCTGACTTTAGTGTTGTCTTCTGGGATATCTGTCATGTTCTCCTCCAGTTCTGCAGAAACAAAAAAATTATAAAGTCAATTCACAAAAAATTATACCATCCAATACTAAGGATAATAAAAGCTGAATTCAGCCCCAGTAACTCTTATATGCTACAACTCAGGTAGACACTGACATGAATATGTCATAAGGCAGGTGTTTGAAACGTTTTAAACAGGCTTTAATGCTTGAAAATGTCCCCAATCCTTCAGACTGTAAACAAGACAATACACACAAAGAGCAAAACTTCACGTACTGATGAGGTTTCCTGACCCAATTCGGGCCATGCGCCCAGCAGTTTTCTCCAGCTCCTTTATCATGGACTGTTCAAAGGCCAAGGCAGCAACTCGAGAAAAGAACTCTTTGACATTTTCCCCTGGGAAACAGGACAGAAATTATGGTTTTTTTACAACTGCATATCAACACACGATCAAGCACAAGCAGTACATCCATGAACACATCACTCCTCAATACGGGGACAGAACAGGCCTCTCCAACAATCTGAGTCACACCCCATTCTGATCACTGCAGAGAGAATTTCTCAGTTTCTTACTCTGGAATAAGTGTACCCTGTACCGTACCTTTATTTTTAGTCAGCAACAGAGAGAACTCAGTTTGTGGTATAATCTTTTTTCATTGCTAATGTTGAGTAGTGGTGCACGTGTGTATTTATGTAACTACCTATGAATTAAACATGCTTAGACATTGCACAGCAGCTCACGTACTCTTTTCTGTAAACATGACAGTGCAAGCACACATAAAAACGCTCAAATAAAATCAACTGTTAATAAACCTGAAGTTTCCAGTAGCAACAAAATCCAAGAACAGAAAAAAACTCCCAAAACCTACATGAGAATGGAAGGCATAAGGAACTTTAAATTCTTCCCACTTTAACGTAAGCCTTTGAGGTTATGCTATTTTCACATTACCTGTTTTGGCTGAAACTGACCAGTATTCTGCCTGCATCTCATTGGCAAAGCGGATGGCATCAAGCTCTGTCCTTTCACACACAGCATCTGACTGAGTAAATAACATGCAATAACTTTAACACAAGAAGTGCACCTGGGCTGGTACATAGAGGTACCGCTAGCATCTATACTGTCATAGTCCAGTTTTCACAGTGGCTTTTCTGGCCTTGCCTTAGAACTTGGAAGCAGACATGATTGCAAGAATACTCAAGTACTTAGTACTGCTTTTAACATTGAAGTTTCCATTCATCTCCCACAGCACTGAAATAAAAAAACAGTTAACAAATGTGACCATTGTATCTAACCATACAGTGTGGTAGGGAGCTACAAAGACAACAGCTTTGAGTTGAAGGACCTACTAATCACAATGGTTCTTTGGGTTTAATTGTTCTTCTCTGTCTCAGATCCTTTCTTCTACTCCATCTACTTTTACTATGTTTTAACACAATGGCCTTCCCCCCTTTTTATTTTTGCTTCTTCTTAAGACTAAGATTTCTTGCCCCTTCAATGGATTTTACCTTCTTGCACTTAATCCTTGCACAATCCTTTGCTTTGCTCGTCTCCTTTTCAGTTGAAAGTGCTATCATTCTAAAATCATAAACTAACTCACAGTAAGGAATTCTAGCTTAGACAAGAATTCAGATCTGCATCCTCAGAGGTCTGGCACATCTAGCTTTTACCGCATCTCAGAAAAAGCAGCACAAGCAACATAAAGTACCAGAAAAATTGACAGACATGCAGCTTTCTGGGACTTACTTTCAGTGAAGGCTAAGAAACAAACTGTTTAAGTGATACTGTGGCAGCTAGGGGGAAGGGGAAATAAATAAAAAAATAAAAATCAACTAAGCAGAAACAGCAAGTTTGTTTTGAAATTTTTAAGAATTACGTATTGTGTACTGAGAGATAGAGAGACATACACAAGACTCAGAATGCTATAGGGTGAGTGCTTTAGAGCCTGATCTGAAAATGGTGTCACAATTAAGTAAGAATTCTTCCCTGCTTCAGAATAATGAACACACTGTCCCCCAAAAAACCTCAAAACCTCCAACCTTCAAGATCATCAGGCACTCTTATTCTGTGCACCCAAATTTCCTCTGCCTTTTCAGTTGTTTGTATGTGCTTGGAAGATGTCATGCAAGGAACGGAAATAGGGATATTTCACTAACTACCCATTTTTTCAGAAAATGTCTTCTTAAATTCATTCCATATGTGTTGTTCTTTTTACCTGTGACCTTCTTTCTGTTTAGGTTTTTCCCTCAAGACTTTTATCTCAACAACACTGTGCACAACTTGTAAGGGAAATTACTTAAGGAACTAGGGGAAATCTGATTTCCTAATCTGCATTTACTGACCACCAAATCTTTTTTTGTTCCAACCAGAAAGATGAAGCTGGAATCTGGCTCATTCTCCCTCAATGCATCTTCTAGCCACTGTCTGAAATACAAAAGAGAAATACAGAATCAAAGGGACCGAGGAATATAGAAGAAACTGACAGACAACAGGGTCACAAGAAAAGTGAGAGGATGAACTTATGTGACAGTATCAAAAGCCTTTTCTTCTAGAGAGAAAGAGACCAGGAGCTATTCCAACTGCTTTGAATACATACTTTCTGCTAAGGTGAAGTTCAAACATGCCCACCGTATAGTATACAAATTCAACAATGATTTTAGGACCCAGAGAGGGTATTTATCAGTATAAGGGAGGGGGCAAAGTTTTGATTGAGATAAGGAACAAGAAAACAAGAAGCAAAGGAAAAAAATGGGAACAACATAGCAGATTAGATACAAATGAGAATAAAGTGGGAATAAAGAGTGAAATTATCTATTCAGCATTATAAAACTAGCTCCCTATGAAGGCTGCATGATTCCTGTCTTATAAGCCTTTGTATTTTTGTTACTCTGGCAATCAAGTTCCTCTTGAGTCATCCAACATAAGTCAAGGAGGGAAGGGAGTGTGTGTGTGTGTGGGAAATCAGGTTCACAGGCTTCAATTATTTTCAGCCAAGCAGAGACACTAATATATATATTATTTTACAAAGTCCTATGTAAATGAGCTAAGTACCACAGCAGCACTGTAAGGAAATAGTCTAATACACATTCAAATAAGATAGTACAGATTGTGAAGAAACTTGTACCTGCATTACAGTCAGAACACCAGGTTAGAAATACATACGCTCTGAGCTGGTGACAACAATGTGGATCATAGATCCATGTAGGGTTAAAAGCAGAACAAGTTTACTCATAACAATTAGTGTGCTGCTGTAACCAAACCATTACGAGTACCTGAACCAGTAAGTTTAGCTATATCTGCACATACTTTTAGTGCTTTCTTCCCTCTTTTTAACAGCCCATCTCCCACCAGATTCACTACAAAAGCTAGAGAAAGAAAATAATTTCGGGCTAGCAGTGCACCTGGAAAAGGAGAGCTTCTTGAGACATTATGCATCAGATGCATCTCATCAATTTCACCATTTGCATCAAGTGCCAGCCTATTATTCTTTTTATAGCAAATGGCGGGGGGAGAGGGAAGAGAAGAGATGCTTTTGGGGTGCACCTAATCTCTTCCTGCATGCCTAGTTTTGGAAGGATCAAACTCTTACTGAAGTGCCTTTTTCTCTCTACTTATATAAAGGAAGTCAAGGGTAAGTATTTCAAATTTATGCTCTGCCTTTTCTTCAGAAAAATCCCACCCTACATAATCCAAACAAGTGAACATCACTCTTCATTGTGACTGTCATTCTTCATTTCTTAGCTCAGTAGAAAATACACTTGTAATCCAGCAAGTTCTCAGCAACTATGGGCTATTTGAGGCAATTAAACTTGCTATAAAAGCTTTGCAGGCTAAGCCAAAATACAGAAACTTACTTGGTGTGATCCAAAGTCTGAATATCAGCCAGATCAAACACTGTTATAATAACTGCAATAAAAGACAGTAACAGAAAAAAAGTAATTAAGTTAGAAAGTGTATCAGAAGTCTCTCCAACTCATCTGTTGGAGAACACAAACATGTGTTTGTTAAACAGAAAGAATGTTTACATATAAAGTGCAAGAGCAGATTTAACACAGAGGAGATGAGAGATTCTCCATTTCTCTTCCTCTCTATTCCTCTTACTTCTCTAGCACGCAGTAAGTCTGAGGTCCTCAGGCTTCAACCTTAGTTAGTCTTTACCTGTAGTTTGCAATCTGTAGTGCTATTATTTTTTTATTTTGGGACCACTTTAATTCCTGCAGAAATTGTCTCTTACTAAAGAGAATGCCAGAAGCATCCACTTCTAACTACAGCAATAATCTTACCCAAAACCAAATTCTTTTCCCCCTAGACACAAGTGCCAATTTTTATCACTGCATCATCAGAACATTCAGAGCTTGCAGGTGTAACAACATATCAATTCATAAGCTTTTTAGTCCCTTCTTCTCTCCAATAACAGACAATTCATACCACTACACTGTGACTACAGGTACCTTTCCAAGGAGCACATACGCATAGATGTTTCTGTATAAAGTACAACCTCCTGTCACAGCCAGGATCAAATTAATATTGTTCTCACCCTCTGCTCCTCGGTAGTAAGCAGATGCAATGCACTTGAACTTTTCTTGACCTGCTGTGTCCCATCTGTGCAATGGGGGGAAAAAAAGAAATTTCAGGTTAATGAAACCCAGCGTAACCTGAGTAAACATGCTAATGAAGCAGCAGACTGGTACAAGTCGGAGAAGAATGTGATACCAGAGCAGTGTTACCATCTGGAACATGTTATTCATTAACTACAGATAGAAATACAGTAAAGCTCTATTATTTAATGAAGACATTTGAACTCTGTTTTTATCTTTTTCTTTTTTTTTAATACTTGTCATTTTGGAGACACAATTCAAATATTTGTATTCTGCACAGTAATACCCTTTACTTAAAATATTTTTTCCTCATCTATGTCATTTGCATATATTTCTAGTGCAATCTAATTTTGAAAGTTGTCTGTACCTAGTATTACTAGCTAAATCATATGTTGGCCCATATCAGAATCTTGCAATACACAATATCTGTCCATACACTAAAAATTAGAGACCTACAGCTCAGTCCACCGGGTACTAATGACACCATTAAAGAAAACCAAGAAAGTGCTTCCTATTAATGATCAAGATATGCAGTCCTCTCAGCTACTGCCAGCACTACAGAGATTTGGGGTTTTGTTATACCCTAGTACTGCCAGTCATGGGTACTTGCATATTTATCTTATATGGAAATCTCTCAGCAAAAGGGGGCACTAGTGCTTATCATATGGAAAGACACTGAAGATTCTGCCGATAATGATCCTGAAGTTTAGTAGCTCATGAACCTTATTATTTCAGCTGGAAAAATACGCATCAGTCTACATTTTTAGAGAGACTCAAGTTCCAAAAGGATAGAGCCTGGCAGAATTCGCAAGAACAGAATGGCACTGAAATCAGTGGGAAATGGATTTCTAAGTATTTTTCGATAAATCCCACTAGCTGTCCATTTATCATCAATAATATCTCAGAAAAAATGTGTTCCCAAGTCAAAAGTTTTCAAAATTCATGCACTAAAATAGTTCAGGCAAAGCATCTTGTTTCTACTCTAGGTCACACTACAGCATAGATAATTCAATAATGCCCTCTACAGAACAATACTCCTAGCCACTGGAGATACCAAAGGACATCCTTCAGCAGAACCAAACCACAAGAGAAGCATAGGATTTCTACTAGTGTGATAAACAAAGCTTAAAATCAAAGATTCTAGGTTCACTTTCTAATAAAAACACTCAAGTCTTTCTACGATTTGGGGAAAATCAATTAGTCCCTAATTAAGAGATGCTGAAATCACTTGACATCTTGCCATTAATTTCAATGGCTCCAGGAATAAAACCCCTGGTAAAGTTCAGTGCCAAGTCCAGTGCTCAGTGTGCCTATTAAACTCAAACAATAGAATGGTGTAACAGTAGAACTACACAAACACTGTGGCAAAACCTGCCACTTCTCTTTCAAGAAACTTGAGAAAAAAGGCAGAACTCCACTGAAATAGCGCAAGACATCCAAGATGAATTTTCATTGATAAATTTACATCATTTCTTAGGGATCAGAAATCCAGGACAGTAAAATTTTTAATAAAATTGCAAGTCCAGGTACAGAATCTTATTTTCAGATCACATTATTCTTTGTGCAATTTTCTTATTTTTAAAAAAATCTTTATTCCACTAGAGCCTGCAGCCATTACAGTTCTGCTGAGATTGTACTCTGTGCAACGGTTAACCATGCTGTTTCAACTTACATCTGGAGATTGTATGGAATTCCAACTATTTCAAAACGTTCAATTTCAAAATCCACTCCGATGGTCGCCTTGTAGTCTCGGTCAAAATTATCTTTACAAAATCTGCAATTAAAAAAAAGAGATGAAATACTAACACCCAACTACAAGTATCTGCAAAACTAACACTACGTAGAGTAAATTATGAAGACAAGAATTAAGTAACTGTAGAGTCACTATATATTGCAGAAGCATATATAAGACCACCAAAAAACTAATTAAAAAAAACCAAAACATACTGGATAACAAACTAGAAAGCATATACATCTAGTAAGATCTAAGAATGAGATGAGAATCAGAAAAAAAAAATCTCTGGACTGCCAAGGCAGATACAGTATCTTACAGTTTTAGTTACAAGGGAATGTATTTTGGGTCATAAATAATTACCCAAATGATTAATCAATGATATTATAAACTTACCATATCTGCTTAAGAATGGGAAAGAAATAATAATAATAAAACACAAACATAGAGAGAAAGCTGTTATGGTGATCACAAGCTGCAGAAATTCAGTGGTCTTCTCACTGAACTTATATACAAAAAACATAAGAGCTGTTTTTAACATCTGGTAAAGAATCAAATAACTATTCTTTAATCTTATTTAATAAGCTGCAGAAAAACTGGAGCTTCCCTCTACAGTCTTGCAGCTGTAGAAATAAGTTCAGGTACCCCCCCAAGAATGACCTAAAGTTGTTTCAGTGAACAACCCTACAAGTAAGAAGAAAACATGAAACCAAGACTCAGACACTGGAAAGATTATATTTTTTTTTTCCACCTCTGATGGTTTACTTTTAAACAGGATTTCTAAATGCATCATATTTGACTGGATAAAAATAGTTTAGAACATCACATATACTAACTTAAGTGCCAGAGCATGACTTTCTGTGTCAGTATATTAAGTCTGTTTTGTCTTTTATTTAATAACAAAAGCATGGTTTAAAACAGAAACATGAAGTACTACCCTGAATGGACAGAAACAGAAACATTGTAACGTTTATTTGAGAAAAAGCAGAATCAAACCATCTACTGAGATCTACTGTACCTGTTGATAAGGCTGGTTTTCCCAACATACAGATCTCCTACTACAACCACTTTGGATATTTTCAGCCTGTAATAAATATTTGAAAGTATTACAAGTTTTTGGTAGCAATTTCAACATTCTCTCTTTAAAAATTCTGATTTAGACCCTTAAATTGCAAGTGATGAGCACATGCACCTGTGACTCCAATTTACCTAAATGTCACTGTGCTGCAGGGTCAGAGTCTCAAATTTTAAGAAAAAAAGAAAAAGAACCAAAAAACCCTCTGGAGCAGAAATAGTCCATTTCTTACTCTGCATAATCTTTTTCTTAAATATAATCCAGTGGGGCATAAATTCCATTAATTTTTTTTTTACTATAGGTATATACATTTGTCAATTTGCACATAAGACCATAGAGTATCTGCATCCTCTTCATTAAAATTAATCACAAGTTTCTCATTGACTTCTAATAATAAAAACCAAATTCTAAGGGCAGAATCAAAAAATGGGTAATAATAAAATAACCCTTTGCAGAATTTGTCTCCGAAAAAAACCAATAAACCCACATGGTTAGAGCCAATACATTTTTTTACTATCTATCTGGAATAATATTAAGCTGAAGATGGCTTCATGCAAATAATCCTCTTTGCTCTGGGTCCTCCCACAGAATACAGCAGATGGGCTTTAGGTGACTCAGCCTGCATTCTTAAAATTGAAATGTAGTGTATCTTTTAGGAGATACAGGTGGATAAGTGAATGTAAGTGTATTTGTTGACCTAAACTTGGATTGACATCTCCTGTGCACATGCTTCAAAAATGGCTTAAGAGGTTTAATGTTCTTTTATATTAAAGAATGGCTTTTTAAACAAATGAAATAATCTTCTATTGAATACTATTTCTGGTTGTATCAGGCTTCTATGTGACACTGATTCCAAGTTATCTGTTCTAAGTTGCCTAAATCTTGATTGGTAAACTGTATTACTAATATTTCCGAAAAAAAGATGCATTTTGTGTGCCAGTCAGTGTGAGTGGGTGGCCGCGGGCCCCTAAACTGCTGACATGTCTCTGCCTGATTAACTGTTACTGATAAAATGCTGAATAAAATCAATGACCTTAAGGAAAGTGCAAAAAAGTAAGCAATGGTTTAGAGGCGTGTGTTCCATTAATTCATATTGAAAAAAAACACCCTAGATTCGACAGTTTAACACATTGATGGAATATCAAGAGACTCTTAAATACAACATTAGCTACTGAATTTCTCAGACTACATTTCCAAATGACAAAGAAATATTCCATTACTTGGGATAATAGAAGAGGAAGATAATGGTTTTTCCTGTCAAGCTTTACAATTACTGTACAAAACACTCAGTTGTCTGTCCCTCCTATCCCTGTCACACCAAAAAAATGACCCAATAAGAATCATATCTAGAGAGCAGTGGCAGAAAAGCAGTTTAATTTTATTCATAATGCCAAAACTAAACCTTTTAAGCTCTACTCTGCTATCACAATAAACAAACTGGAGAGTTGGTTTACTCTGGAAATAAAAAAGAGCAAATAGATTTTGATTACGGAGGGAAAAAATGCCTCAATTAATGAAAGCATATCTTGCTAGCAAACTTGTCCAGACGCTTGTAACAAATTTACATGAAACTAAGGCAGAGATTGTGCTTCTACAAACCAATAAACTCAATTATTTCTCTCAAGGAGATATTTTGGCTTTAAATTCTTTTTAGCAAGAGTTGTGCTTAAAGATGAATATCATGACAAGTCGTGTTGTAATCAACAACTCTAGATTTGAAAGAATAGTGAGCTAATTGTCAGTATTCAGAGAAGCTCCACTATATGAAAGATCCTTCACACTGGAACACAAAAGCATTTATCTCTAAAACATACAGCTATTTATTTTAACTGAATGGTGATAATTTCTAACACAGTTTAGCTTTCTTGCCTTGCTTCAGGAATTAAATCAGTATTAGTAACAGTTCTGGGAGAGAGATGATGTGGAAAAAAAACCAAACACAACACCTTAAAAATTATTAGTAAGGCACAAAGCAGTTTATTTGGCTTTTTCAATGCTCTATATTTACCAGAATTTTGCTCCAGTTTTAAGGAAACATTTAAGGGAACTTCTCAGCACATGTACTTCTAAAAGACTTAAGCTACGTTCTTAGGTGTTTCAAGCAACTTAGAACTGCTGTATGTTTGTATCTCCTCAAAGCCATTATTAACTGCGCATTTAGAACACCAACAGCAAATACACCAAGGTTAGATCTGCCCAATTTCTTATAACTGCTCTAAAATATGATTGCCAGACTGACTTGCATGTGCAAAATTCAACACTAATTTTAAACAGTTAAACTTTTGAACTACGAGTTTAGCTCAAAGTTGCTGAACAGCTATTTGTCACTAAACAACTCCAGTATTTTTTCAATGCTACTTATGCCAGCGGAAAAAGTATCTTTGACAATTATGGGAAGAAAAGGCACTTTATTTGTTTACTGTCAAACAGGTCAGAGAACTGCCATGTGCATGGGCTTAACATGCTGGAGTGAGGAAGATGAGGAATGAGGAAAGAAAAGCCTATGAAGGAAGCAGGCTACAAAGAGCTTAAAATACTTTCTTCATTGCATATGTGGCTTATTATAAACATACCCAACTGTTCCAGTGCTCTGCTGACAAGCAGTCCTGACCTGTGCATGGAAGTGCTCTTTGAGCTGCAGACAGGCCTCAGGTGTGTACCACTGAAAATAGGAGAGAACAGCTACTGGGGTAAACCATGCAATGTCTACTTTTCAAGAAGTCAAATCAGCAAGGAAAAAATAGGTAAGATGATTAATTCAAAGAGTTTGTCAAGCACAGGGATACCCTAGCATAAGAAAAGGGATAGCTTGGGTTAGAAGCCAGTAAGGCTTCCCCACAGTTATGTTTGTAAAAACTCCTTTGGACAGTGCCATCATTTGACCACCTTTCTGAGTGTCAGCATCCAAGCACTAGCAAAACTTTCACAGTTGAATACATTTGTTTATAGTTCTGTACAATAGCAAGTACCTTAAATTATGCCAGTAATCTAAGACACACAATACTAACATAGATGGGAGCATACTACCAGCAAGTCATTATTACTATGAAGTCTTTTAGATCTCTTATATCTGTGAAGCATTGTTATTATTATTAGTTTTTAATTACACATTAGTTAAAAACAAGGAAAAGTTATCTTACCTTATATTTTCTTAAAATAACCATGGTGGTTTTCATAAAATTAAAAGCAAAATATGTGTCTGAGATCAAGCACGGAAAATAGTGCTAACTCCCTTAAAAGGATCTGAACAGACAGAATTGTAATTCCTTGTCCTTCCCTGTCCTTAACCCTTCTATTATACTTCAAGTAAAAAACTCTTTGGGGATATGAATGATCTTTTCTGTCTATACTTCTACAGTGCCTACATCATTTGATCTACTGTATGACTAAGATTCCTATACAAACAGAAAACGAAAATTGCCTCAACTTCTTCAACCAAAAGCTCCATATAGATCTAATTAGACTTTTTGCATATTTAATATCAGCTATGGTTCTCATTTCCCCTCAGTGTAGGAACTCTTTAAGCATGTAATTATTAATGTTTGGCTGAAATAACTAGATATTACAAGATAAGACTTTTGTGGCAAGAGTCACTTTCTCTAAATGTTAAAAAAAAAAGAAATAAGGATTATTAAAGACATCAGCATTGAATGGGAACACGAGGCCACATTCACCTTTGAAAGAAATCCTTAAACAATATGTAATTTTAGCAGAAGGCAACAACTATACATTAAATTAAAACAGTATTAGCACAAGGGAAAGACATCTCATTGTGGCAGGTGATACATACTGTGATCAGAGGGATAAAGAATGCTCACCTTGGGAAACTGAGAGATTATTCTGTCTCTACTCACTGGAGGAACCAAATGCATTAGGTTGGACTTCATCCTCCAAATTCAATTAAATTCTACCAGGCAGGAAATATGTAAAGAGAAACATATTATTCAGGAATTGCCACAATACAGGGAAAATGTGATTAAAAACATTTTTTTCCTTTCAGTACAATCGTAGTTCTTTGACTTTATTTGCGTTAAAGAAAAATCTGTTCTTACGTAAAAGGGACCACTTCAGTATACACAGCTGTAGTAGCAAACTGTGGCTTTTTGAAATTACAGGGCCCCGATTCTAATTCCATAGGAGCACAGAGAATTATTCACTTAATGCAACATAAGTGATTGCACTTTAGCCCTCAAAGGATTTTGCAGTGTTTAATTTAAAAATCTTGCTCATCATTGTTTGAAATGCCTCTGCACTTAGCACATTCATAAGTGTTAGTGGATACCAGATTTCAATTGGTCAGAAGAACGGAGGAAAGATGAAGTTGCCACGATTCTCTGCACAACATCAAACTTTCACCCAAGATCAGCTCAGAAAGAATGAAATCAGTAGAGAATCTGACTTGGAAAACGAATAATGTTCACATGAAAATCACAAATGCATTTAGATATCCCACTTGAGACTTATCAATTTGGTTATGTAATGAAACCTCGTGGGTTGTTGGGGGAGGGGACCCTTAATAGGCTACCAATTTCTTCGTGGCATTCAAAAGAATGTTTCTAAGAAGAACATTCATCATGTAGCAAAGTGTAAGGAAGGACTCACCGTGCAGCAGCTGATGCAGCAGGATCCCAGTCACACAAACAGCTCAGCCGCTGCTGCGTGGCCATAGCAACAGGCTCGCAACAGCTCCCTTCCTCCCCTTCTCTTACCCATTGGGAAGGCGGAGTTGGAGTAATTTGACTGTACGCAGGGCCCTAGTTTTAAAAGGCCAACCTGGTTTTAGGGGCCATACTGATTCCTTTGATCAGAAACTGCTCCTTAATAAACCATATGGTCCCCTAATACTGCATACTAAAATAGTTCTGTTTTCTGCAAAGATATTTGTGTATATGGATACAAAGAGCAGGATTAACCCAGCAGACGAGGAGCTAACGGAGTGGGGAACTGTTACAGTGCTATTATTAAGCATAGTAGCAATTATAAAGAAACTCCTGAGGGATTTTTTCAGAATTTCAACTTTATTTCATCTCAGCTTTATAGAGTCAGGTTGTGCATGCCACCAATGAGACATTCTGAATTATATAAATGTCTTTGAATTATATAAATGTCTTTCTAGCCATTAGTAACCTTGCTTTCTAATGTACCAAACACTAAAGACAAGGAATAAAAAAACACACGGCTCTTTTGTATTGCCCAAGTATTGTTAATCAACTCATTAATTTCTGCTATTTATTTCATTAGGATTTAAATTTCCAAATTTCAGGATAAAAGAAAGCTCTCACCTTCTAATAGTCATATTTTGGTAATGCTGGAACAGGCTTGGACCTCTTAACATCCAGGAGAGAAGCCTCTCCATTTCCTGCTGCAGACTAAAAATGGTAAAGGGCAAATCAATGTGGACAAGTAATTTTAAATGAGTACAGTTTTACAACCCCATGCTAAGAAAAAATGCTCAACAAAAATGCTCGTTCACTACTTAGAGTTAATGTTTTATTCTCTTTTGCGAGGAATTGCTTTTAAATCACTTCAGGCACTCATGTGATCTCAACCATACTGAAACACCCACTTCCCCCAGAAGAATCCAGGTTTGCAGCTGACAGGTTATTCACCAAAGAAGGTGACATTACAATACTTATTACCATATGCGTAGTTCTATTTATCATGCTACTTGTGACCCTATAAAACCAGAGAGATCTAGACCCTTTTTATGGTGTGCTCCTGCCCTTTTGGCAAGTTTGAATGATTTTATGGCGATGCTAATATCTTAAATATAAGTTCTGAAAACAACAAAAACCTTGCCAGTTGGCAAGAGTTTCAAATGCTAACTTGCTTTCTTCATATTCTCCTAGTTCTAGTTCAACACATCCTAAGCATGTAAAAATGTCATGTGTACACAGGGTGACTCACTGCTCGTCTCCTAGAGCTCTTTCACAAACTAAGCTACCAAAAAAATCAATTCAACAATCTCAGTGAATCCAAAGCACAGGAGGGACCAAGGCAACCAAACAGAAACATTTTAAAACTGAGAGGCCACCTTCACTTACATTTAGTATATTTAATCTAAACCTCATGCACACATAAATATATCCCAATCTACAAACTTAACAAACTAGCCAAACCATTAGAGGAAAAAGATCAGCGATTTAAGAAACCCAAAGCTGCTAAAAATACTGAGAAGGATAGGTATTGAGATTCAGATTTCCTCCTCTTACAGAGCTGAAGGGGATTCCAGTCACTAGGGAGGACTGGGAACATAATGTCTCCATGGCACCACAACCCTCCTTATATCAATGTTGCAGGAATACTACCACCAGCAGACTCTGTGAATGGACAAAGGATTTGAGAAAGGCATTCAGAAGCTGTACACAACATCAGTTAACGTCATTACCACAAACTAAAATCTGTATTCTAAGCTATGGTGAAGGACAAAACAGAACAACCCACACCAAAAGGTCAAGAGCGGAGTTAACACTGAAGGACAAGAGAAGTCTCTGATCTTCTCCTGACCCTTCTACATTAAGAAAAATCCACATTCTTCCTATCGAAATAGGGTAAAACATTACAGATATGTAGTTAGCTGAAGTCCTATCTAATTCAGGAAAGTAACTTCTACTTTAAATAATCTGCTCTAAAAGACGGCTGAAAAATGAATCCTTTCCAGAAAATACTTTTTAAAGTAGTAATTTTTCTTTTATGCATTTTGAAGATCAACAAACCAGAATTTATTCCTGTGTTTTATTTTAATCCATCTGATCTGAATGATTTGGCTTTGTAAAATCCCATTTAAGAACTTTGATTATAATAATTGTTACTCAAACGTAATGAAAAACATCTCAACAACTTCTCTATTTGCAGAGAACTAACTTTTTATAGCATAAGCTGTTCAGAGTTTTCTTCCTGATGCCAGATCACATCTGGCAATCCAGAGCACCCTTCAGCTGTGCTAGCAACATTGCAATGATACATTCGCCCTGCCTACCATCCTCTGAGCAACACTATGCTTTTTAGCAGGATCATACTGAAAAACATGGCTGTCTTGAATACAGTTAAGTGAAACTAACTAATGATAATGGAAACCTCTGCTAGGCGTTCTAGCTGTTTATAGTTTCATTCTGGGGAAGACTAGGAAAGAAAGCCGAGTCCAGAGCTACTGAGCTCCCTTCAACCCTTGACCTCAAGGCACTCACCTGCTGCATCTCTGTCATTAACCCGACCACCATTTTGTTCAATCTGAATTTTGTTCGACATTGTTCAAACGAAATTACTTTAAAAACACGAGGTGAAGAGAGAGCCTCCCTCCACGCTTTAGCAGAGGCGAGCTAAAAGGGCCTCCGCGCGACAACCCCATGGCGGCATTTCTCGCCTTCCCTCACACGCTCCCCTCCCTGAGGGGCCGCGCCTCGGCTCCCGCGCTAGCAGCGTCCCGGCCCGCAATTCGCCAACTACGCCATCGTCGTTCCTCTCTCACAGCAGCCAACGTCAAACGCGGTGCTTACGCTGCCGACGCGGGAGCAGAATCGATGCGCTTAGCGGCGTAGCTTTTATTCACGGAGCGGGCGTACGCAAAGAGCGGGTTGCTGAGGCAACCAGAGCACGCGGGCGCGACGGGCGGTGGCGCAGCTGGCAGGAACCGTGGAGCGGGAACCGGGGACGGCCTGAGGCGGCGACGTGTTGGTGGGACAGGGAGTCTTTGCTTATTTAAGTTTATTTCTTGTGTTTTAAAGAGAGAACTGCAGTTGTCTAGCAGGTGTTTTTAACTTGTCAGCTGGATTTCTTGTTGAGCAGTGTTCAATAATGGAGGTTGGATGGTTCTCTCAACTGAGCCATTTTCCTCAGTGACGGAAGGGGGAGGTCAGCCACCATCTACTCTTTCCAAAGTTCACGAATTCCAAGGGCGGGTTTATAAACTAGATCCCTTTTAAAAGAACGGTTTTTTAAAAAATGATATTTTGTTTGCTTTTGCTTTAATACTATTTTGAGCCCCTTCTCTGGTTGGGTACATTGGACTACTTCACTTTAACGCTTTGAAAAACATTCCTTACTTCATCTTGCAATTTTAAACTTTCCCGCTCTCTCTCTTTTCTTTTTAACAGTGTTCATTAGAGAATTAAACCAGATAAGACAACTCAGCTGATGACCATGAGCCATTCTAGCCTCTTCTTTCATAGCTTCCTAATTTTGGAGTATTTTTAGGGATAAGGGAGAATCCTTCCTTGGAAAATTTGGGATGGCACATGCTCGTATCTCAGAAAACCTGCCTCCTGATATAGATCCCACAAAAGCTCCTGTTGCATTTGGAAGGAGAGCCCTTCCTAAACTGAACGAGGAGTTACAGTCTCCTGAGCTGCTGACTCAGCAGCGGGCACTGATGGCGCTCTGCGATCTGGTCCATGACCCAGAAAAAGTCTACCAGGCAGTAGAAATAGGTAAGTGATCTGTTGTCTTAAGCTTTGACACAGTGTGGGGCTAAAAACCCACTTCACTTTTGTGCACTTTTTTCCTCTCAATATCTTTGATCACACGAAATGACCGTGAAGATTTTTTTGTTTTTGTGCACTTTTTTCCTCTCAGTATCTTTGATGACACGAAATGACCGTGAAGATTTTTTTGTTTTAATCTCTACTTATTTTACTTTAAAAAGGTAAAAAATACTGTAATCCTGTTATTCATGTACCTTTCAGAAAAAAATAAAGGAGTGAATGTATGAATTTCTAACAACATAAAACTACTAAATATATTTTACTTAGGCGAAAATAAAAAGCTTTTAGTTTTCCTAGAGCAGGAAAAAAAGGTAAAATCCTTTTTTCTCCCCCCTTCAGTCGACATTTTCTACCATGTATGACATGTGACAGTGGTACCTTCATGATTTTTCATGCTTGAGGTGCTTGAAATACTCATATCTCAGATCCCATAATAAAAACAGGTAAAAAACTCTGATGAAAGCTTTTAAGTAATAATTAATAAAGTAATATTTAAATAATAAGGTTTAAAAATAATAAATATATTATAAATAATAAATAAAAAAAGAGGTTTACAAGTTTATTTGCAAAATCCATGAGGGCACCTTTTGCCATTGATTCCTTCAGCAGTGGGTAGCATGGCACATCTAGCTATAACTTCACCAGAGAAATAAGGCATCAGAGCTTTTTATGCAGAACTCCTTCTCAGAAGTGACTTAGTAATTGTAGAATGAGTCTGAAAAAAACCCAAAAAAACCAAACACCTGGAACTTCATTAGAAATTAAGATACAAGACAACATAATCAAATTTGTTATACTTATTAGGATTACACCTAGTCACTACTAATTTCAAAACTTTTTATCCCAGCGCTTGGAAGAATCTAAGTTTGGATTTTGGGGAAGAAAAAAAAACCACCACAGAAGCTTAGCTTTGCAATTTTTAGTAGTCTGTTGTGTATCTACAGAGCTCATTATGTAACACTGAAGAAGTCCTCCAGTTTGCCACTGCTTTTTTCCCCATTTGCTTCTTTCATATTTTTTTCCTCGTAAGAGGTACCAATAATCATGTTCAACATTTATTGTTACTGTTTAATTAATAATAACTGCTGAAGCAGTGCTAGATTGTTGTTTGTTTGGTTTTTTTTTTGGTCAGTGCTATGTGTGTAGCTGTTTAATTAACAATAACTGCTGAAGCAGTACTGGATTGTTGTTTGTTTGGGGTTTTTTTTTTGGTCAGTGCTATGTGTGTATCCACATAATCAGTAACGGTTCACCAATTTTATTTCTATGTGTGAAAAGCAACACTGTGTGTTTCTACATATTCCTTATTACACCTAAAGAAATTTTTAAAATTATAGGCATCAATCCTGCAAAACCATGGTTTTCTAAAAACATCAGTAGCACCACTGACTTAAATTATTTTTAGAGTTATGTCACTTCATAAATGTTTGCAAGGTTAGGATACTTGAGATACAACAATGAGTGTTTCACTGTCAGGACAAGACAAAAATTCTCATTGTTTGCACTTCAAATTGTGAGATAAAAATGATACTGCTATTCTAAATTAATGCTGAAGTTAAGAAATGTGAAAATGAACTATGGTGTCTTACAGGATTCTTGGATAACCTGAAGACTCTGCTGCTACATCATGACCATATTGTCCGACAAAAAACAACACAAATCCTCTACATAATGGCTATGCATAGTGTTGGCAGGTAGGTGTAATTCCAGAGTTTAGTGAATGGTATGGAAAGCAAGAAAGACGTTTCAGTGAGTCATGAGAATAGAATTTCTAAGTTTTGGCAAGACAGGTGCAATATAACTAAGAGTATTTAGTTAAGATTAAGCATCTTGCAAATATAGATGAGTTTTGTTATGCTTAGTTAAATCTGTCCTACAATGTTTTTTGTAGGCAAGGGTTGATCCAAAATGGAGTAATTTCTGCCCTCACTGAGCTCTTGGATGATCCAGTAGACATCTGTCGGAAGAACACGCATCAGATTTTTGAGATGGTGGCAAGATTACCGGAAGGTAAGGATTTTTTCAGTAGTTAAGTATTCAAATAGGCAAAGCAGATAGATTAATTTACCTGATTCCCTATGTAATATATTCCAGATTTATATATTCCATTTTCCTTGAAAGGCATATTTTAAATCAGTATCTTTTCTATTTTTGCTCATTTTAATTTTTATTGGTGGAGACAACTATGATTTCTAGAGCTGCTTTTGCACTTCTAAAAATTTGCAAGTTGTGTAATAATAGTAAGAATGCTTAGCCAAAATATAGAGAATGCTTTACATAGGTGACAAGTGAAATGCCCTGTGTTAATAATACATCAGTGAATAGTCCTGTCTGTTTATCAGGGGGGCTGATCTTGCTAGATCTGTTTATTTCCTTAGGTCTTACGCAAATTAAGGCTACCTGCTCAGGGTACAGGTTGTATGGACTGCATGCTTAAGTTTGTATTTCAGAATCTTGCATCAAAAGTTCACTTTGTTCTCTTCTCTTCGAAATGATGATCAGCTGTTCATCATGGTGAACTAGTTCCACAGTACACAGGGTTTGTAGGAAGTTTTTCTGGTCTTAGGAGGTACAAATGTGAAATTTGTTTTATGCCTTCCCTGCTCCTTGCAAGTCCTGATGTAGGAGGAGACACAAGATCAAATATGAGCACCATCCATTGTACTGTGTATTTCACAGATTAACACGTCTTTGGCCTCAGTTGCCAAGCACTGTTTCTTAAAGGTAAGTTTTTGATATTGCTTTCAGGTGGTAAATGTAAAAAAACCCATAAACCTGGGGGTGATGCAAGGAATAATGAAGAAGCTTGATTTTTCTGATATCTTATTCAAATATTGTTTCCCTTACGTGAAATTGTTAAATGGACTTGGTAAGATACACAGTTAAAAATGTGATAAATTACACCTAACTCCAGATGTTAAATTGAGCAATTCATCCTACACTCCCTGCATACCAGGAGGGAAATCAGTATCTCCAGGGGCGAAAAGTCTGACATGTCCTAGGTGCTTTGTTTAGGATGAGATGAGTTTTGCTCTGATGGTGTCCATTTATCTCTAGTGAGATAAACAGAAGCTGGGTTGATTACATCAGAGTCAAGCATCTAGCTTTTAAATGCTTCAGTCAGAACAGAGTAATCCAAGCTGGGAATTTGTCTTTGATTTGCCAGAAGAATAGGGGGTTGTACTGTTCACATGCTTTCTTTATTATCTGTATTTATAGTTTTCTAAATCATTTATGCACTGAGGGAATTTATACGCTAAGGGAATTTTTATTTCCAGATTCTATGATTATCATTTCAGTAGTTTTAGAATCTGATCTTTAGTCGTAAACTTTATTCTTCTAGTGGATGAAAATTATAATTTTAAAAATAAAATTTCAGTAGATAGAAATTATCAATTAAAAAGCCACACTATTTAAATTCATGGGGGAGTGTCTTATCTGAGGAATTCTGTTGAATTACTGGTGCTTAAAACAGAATTAAGTGAACTTTTAAATACTTGCTAAGTGAGTGTACATGAATTCTGAATATATAAAGATGTATTTTTAAATGCATGCAAGCCTTTTTAAATGCCTAAATAATTTAATCTGTATGAAGGATATTAATACGGTGGGCTAAACCTAGCTGGTATACGTATTTTCAAATCAAATGAGAAAGGCACTTGGCTTAAGTAATTTTGATCTGACTGCCTTTGAAGAATTTTGTCTCTTACCTGTGTAGACAGATAGATACCATCCTGCAAGTATGATGTGGATCATAATAGAAACTTATGGAAGAAGCAAACTTAACAGAAGTAAAGAAATGTTGCTAAATTTTTGCAGATCACTATTAATCATTAATCATTCATCCCTACTAGCTAAGGCTGCCTTCTTAGCCCTTTTGGAACTGCATAATTCAGCTTTGCTGTTCAGTCTCTGCTGTACTGAACTCGTATCATTAACCTTCAGATGTGGGTAGATCTCTAGTAGGCTAGTACAGGAGCTTACCACTTGTCTCCTTTTGCTGATGCAGTTTTCAGGTGTGTTCATGAGGCACAGCTTAAGTTCACTGGAAAGGTTTTAAACAGGGAAACTGCCTCAGGGTTAGGTGGCTGTTGTGCATATCATTTTAGATGTGGATCTTTGATTTACAGATGTAAACTACATTTAATGTTATATATACATAAACACCTGCCTGCTTTTAGGTTCTATCTCCCAAAACTCAGAGCATTTACTGAGTAGGTTGGAAGTTTAGCTACATAAGCTGAAAACTTTTACTGGGGGATGAACAAAAGTTCTAGGGGGAAAAAAGCAACTTAAAAAACCCCAAAACAAACCCTAGATGAAGTGAGGCCTTTTTTTCCTCCAGTGTATGCAGTTAGATACTTTCTAAAAAGCAGGGTCTAAAACCAAGGATTATATAGAAAACATTTTATTAGAACTATTTAGACACTTAGTATGGCAGTAAGCAACATTAGCTCTTGGTGGTGCTAAAACATAAAATGTTGCTTATTAAGAATTCCCCATAAATCAAAATACATTCCCCAAAACCAGAGGATATATAATGGTACACCGTACTGCCACTCAGGTTTACTCCCATTGTGCCATCTTTGTCCCTGCAGACATCTGAATATAACCTCTTAGGTCAGGAACCACTGATGGGAACTGTCACAACTGTAAAACCAGTTTGGGTGATAATCAGGAAAGATGAGATCATGCTATACGAGAAATCAAGTTGCCTGCTGGAGTGGCAGGATTATCCAACCCTTGCTGAGCTGAGAACTCAGCAAAAGCCGAGAACCAGCTGAAGTTTCTCCTCAAAACCTTGCCTTTGATTGAAGGTAAAGGATTCACAACATCTCTGAAGCGAGCAGGAGCTTCTGCCACATGAAGACCAGCTTCCAAATCATGTTACCATCCCAAGCTAGTGAAAGTTGCCTATATTTACAAGAAAGGCTACAATTCTCTGAGTGGTATTTGCTTTTCAGTGAGGCGTCTCTAAAGCTAAGACTGATACCTGTTCCTTCATTTTACCTCTCTTCACTTCAGGTACTGGTGGCAGATAAGAATCAGGTTTTTCCAAATCAAATTAACATCAGAACAATTCCCTGAAACAAGTCTCAGAGTTTTGTCTCCAAAAAGCAGAAAAGGGCAATTAGTGTGAATACAGGGCATTTAGATAATTGTAAAATTAGTTACTTGGTAAATTCTGTGCATCAGTGCCTTCACTGCAGTTTCCTTTTACATGTAAATGAGGAGAGTTACTTTATTAGAAACCCGATATTTATGCCTCTTTTGAATAATTTTTTCCTGTTCATCAATTCTCAGCATGTAGTGTAATCCTAATGTATTTGTAGTGATCATGCTCTGTATACATGTAGGCCAATTTTTTCTCCATTTCTCCCTCCGCCTTCAAATATGAATGTAGAGGAACTGTTTACATCTGTGAGGCAAGCAGAATTTAATCTCTATCTTCTGATCTTATATTCAGATCTCTCAGAGAGCATGATACGTCTAGCAGTCTCTTTATAGCTTGTTTGAGTCATACCTTTCTAGGTGAAATTCTCTTCAAAAGCTTCATTTCTTCAGCTGTGAAATAATGCTAGATTTTGACCGTTTCCTCTGTCAATGTTTGTGCTATTAGAAGCCTTCAAGACTTGTTGAGGATAGAAGTCTTTGACTAGATTAAGTTAGTCTTGCATAGTTTTCTACAGACCAAATTTTCCTACAACATCCTTTGACAGTTTGGGGACATGGGAATAGATAGAATCATAGAAAGTGACCTTAAGGATCATCTAGTTCCAACCACCCTGCTATGGACAGGGACCCCTTCCACTAGACCAGGTTGCTCACAGCCCCATCCAGCCTGGTCTTGAACGTTTCCAGATAAAACCTGCTATCCTCAGCCTGTCGTACAATATATAAGAAGCTGAGCTAGCATGTTGCCTGTCATATTCTCTCCGAGTAATTATCCTTGGAAAAAGGTGTTTTTCTGAGCCATGTATTCTTTTTATTTAGACAAAAATATAAAAAAATAAACGTCTGTATTTAAGGGTTGGAAGATAACTCCTTGAGCAGAATTATGTTACTGTAGAATGGACTCACATGCAGATGGCTGCTTAGAAGAAAAACAGAAAGGTGCTAGAAGTGTTTTCTTTGCTATGAGATGATTTGGGGAATTATCAAGGAGAGCAGCAAATGTTTTCCAATAGGTAGTAAGAGTCACAATATAATTCATTTGGCATATTAAAGATACAGAAATCGTCTCTGCCTGGTAATTCAGCATTCTCCAGCTAGCCAAGAAACTCTCTTCCTCTTTGCATTTACTTACTTCTACACCATACACCCAGATAATGAGATAGGATGTACTTTGTATCAGCTGAAGGAAGTTAGCCACTAATATATGATTCCACAGCTGAGATTTCTGGTGTCTTCTAGAGCTGAGGTAATTTTCAGGGCCAATAAAGTAGTATGTTCCATACTAGAAAAAGGAACATGAGCTGTACAACACGCATTTGGCCTGAAGTGTAGTTGCTTTCTTCACTGTGGTCAGTGACTCCAATTAGCTCTATACCAGGACACCTGCTCTTTCTGCAAAGAAGGGTAGTTTAGGAAAATGTAGTTATTTTAAGCAAATCCACTATTTTTGATTCCTAAATTTAAGGACATATACCAGATCCTCCAGGAACAGTGGGTTCATTAAAAACCAAAAGGAGGGAAAATCCACAAAGATTGGGTGAACATTTCCAGAAGAAGCAACAACTTAGAATAATTAATGGACAGAAGACAAAAATAAAATAGATAAATGTATTCAGTAGAGGATAGATGATGGAGAAGAACTGGTAGTAGGTGAAAATGAAGAACATTGGAAAAGTTAATAGCAGAACTTTCATTCTTTGTGAAAACAATTCATTGACACGCAATACTTAATGTTAGTGAAAAAGTATTAAACAATGATAAATGACCTGGGCAACAACAACTGTGAAAATAGTTCCAAGAAAAAAAATCTTTCACTAGGTTATGGTTTATACTGG